TTTCCCCACCGATCTCCACACTGAGAAGTTCTTCCTTCAGTGTTTCTGGTCAGAGTCCCTCCAGCAGAGCCGTCGTCCTCCTCACAGCTCAGAGAAACAGAGTCTCCTTTAAAAAACTGAGACCTGCTGGGACTCACGTTCAGCTTCAGCTGGTTTGTTCTGCAGCACATCAGTGAGAGCAGAACTAAAGAGAAATGGGTTGAACATGAAACAGAGTTATTCACAGAATACTGCAGCTCACTGCTCACAGAAATGTCTCCTGTTCAGGATGACGCAGTTAGAAAGGCAGAACTCAAACATAAAGACAGAAGCTGATTTCTTAAATCATCTATTTGACCAAACAGACACTAAAGTGTGTCTCTACATACGATAGATGTCTGAGTGTTCCTCTGAACTAAAGTCCTGCTGCTGCCAGACTTATTCTGAACATCCTTCACTACTTTTAGCAGGTTTGTCTCGTCGCTGCAACGTGTCCTAAAACCTGAAGGAAATGTTTCTCGTCTCGTGTTTGAGTTTCAACAGGTGCTATGTAGATGAAGATGTGACTTCTACACAACTTTACTATAAAACTAGTGATTTAAAATGAGTGTAAGCTGCTGAGAGTATCGAGTAGCAGCAGCAGTCGTATAAAGCAGACACACACCAGTGTCCACGTTATGGCTTTAAGAGCTTTACAGTCTATTTGTGCCCAGTTTCCTTGTTCACATGGTTAAAGTTCCTCTGCAGATCTCTCAGGTGTCCTCCTCATCATCAGTAAACGTAGCTGGTAGTAAAGTAAGACAGAGACTCTACTTACAGAGCAGACATCGGACAGACGTTTCCTCCATCGTGCTACTGAGCTGCTGGAGGGATGCTCTTTCTTTTAATGTGACACCACATAAAGCCCGCCCTCTTCCTCTGTCTGAGCTCTGTTCTGCTGTTTCTACTCAACCACTGCTGGACTTTCTTTTCTTTCTTATATTCAGTAAAAACACAAATAACTTCCTGTTATGTCTCAACACCATCACATGAAGACAAGAACAGCAAGGAAACAGAAAGTATTTACAGCTTTGGCTAAAAGACTATAACATGTAGCTATAAGCAGTGTTTTACTCTCATCTGATGCTGTTGTTTCTATCCTGTATCTGATGGTTAAAGTCCCGTCACTGCCAGCAGACGTTCCTCAGCTGGTTCTCAGATGGAACATCAGGCCTTCAGCACAAACTTTATTCTGGTTTAACAAACCAGAGTTTTGTTAACGAACAAATAGATGTCCTGTTTTATTGGCATCATCCTCCGTGTTGATCATCTCTCAGATGACTG